TCATCATCATCATCATCATCATCATCATCATCATCATCATCATCATCTCATGTCGTGGGGAGAACTTGCCAGCCAGAATGGGCATTCATAAATTTGACTTAAGGCTCATGGCTCATTTGGGCGTCCAAAATTTTCCGGGTAGCCGGAAAATCGTCAGAACTCGCGGCTCAAATTCCATCAACAACAAGTGTGTGGGACGTGCCATCCAGGCATGGCGGCCAAAAGCATGGTGGGGTGTGGGGGGTCCGGGTCGTTGAAGAGGACCAAAGAGATGCAAATCAATGGAACGAACACAAAGAGTGTGCTCCACCAATGTAGACCGGTGATATCTGTTGAGAAATAGAAGGAATGTGTGGGGATGTCGAAACCGTTGGACTTCCTCCGCTTCGACTCGTCGAAACCCCTTTCACCCGTCTGCGGGAGTCGGAGGCCGAGGCACCGTTGGTGCCGTCCAGGAAGCGGCTTCCGAACCTTTTGGGGCGTCCGTTCGGAGGAGCCCCGTTCGTGGCGTTTTGGATCGCTCCTAGAACCGGTTTTTTCGGGGGGGGGCGCCGTGGGTCGATCGGGGAAGCCAGGGGGAGAAAGGGGGAAGACCAGAAAGCTCCAGTGAGTCGGCCGGTGGAGTGTCGGCTCCCGCCAAAAAATAACGGCCAGGTCGGCTCCCATGTGGTCATTGGGGGGCAGGTTAGTTGGGCAAACAGTTTGGCATAGTTCGGCTACTGGCCAGTCTGAAGCGTGAAAGCTGGCGGGTCAAAAGACGAAGACTCGGAGAATCGATGGGAGTTGGGAGCCTTGAAGCCCAGTCGAGCCCAGCTGCTCCAGTCTTCCCCCCCTGATCTGCTAACACGTGTGACCTTGGAGATCTAGCGCTTTTTAATGCCAATGCATAGAAGAAATCCCTCAAAAATCATGTCAGTCCTATCTCTGCTGGCCCTTAGAGTCTTAGGGCTACCAGTGGCGGCCCCTCCCCACTGCTTCTCCTCTTCCCACCCAGTCACGTGATCGCCGGCGCCAAGGCCGCGATGAAGAGGTAGAGAATGGTGGAGGCCGTCTTCCTCAATAGACCCCCTAGTAGCGAGGCCCTTTGCTCCGTTCGTAGCTTCTTGTCCCTAGTAGTACGGCCAGGAGCCCCGGTCGTAGCGTCCGATCGCTCCGTTCGCGCCAACATCTCAACCTCTCGGTACTGGTCCGGACCTCCTCCGGTGGCCACGGGTCTCGTGGACCGACCGGTCTCGTGGAGCCCTTGGCTCGGCACGTCGCTTCCCCCAGTTGTTCAGGCACTGGGAGTCGGGCCAAGAGGCGGGTGAAACCCTCCTTCTACGCGAAAAGGCTAAGCCTTTTTAAGCTCTTCGTGCCCACGGGGCTGCGTATGCCACACTACATGATGACCTCCCAGGGGGTCTCCCCCAACTCAAATACATATACCCAATCTCTCAGAAGTTCACCCAACGCCGAGCAGCTGGAGGTTCTCGGGGTAAAAGGCCTCAGTCCAGTCGCTCACGTAGAAGGGCGCGCGGCGCCGGATATCCTCAGGCGTCGATCGCTGGACCCGCACGGACGCCCGCGGACTTCTGCCACTGGTCAGTGGGTAGATGAAGAGCGCCAGGGTCAGACCGGACCGCAGAGGATGGAGTATGATGATATTCAGGTTCACGGGAGTGAAACATCAGTGAAACCATGGTTTTTAAGATTTGTTGGAGAATGTTTGAGCAAACTCTTAGGATTTGGGGGCCAATGATTCGGGAGCGGCCGATCGCAGTCCTTTTCTGTCTCATGATTGCGGGTACAAAGTCCTGTGAATGTCTGACTGACTGTTGTCTAGGTTTCTCACCAGGTAAAGAAGGATAAGTTATTTACTATATAGCTGTATGTAGAGCAACTACAGATGTCCAAAAACATGGTTATGTGATGCCGATATTGCTATTATTACTACCAATATTTAAATATCTAATTATTATGTAATCTATATAATATATTATATATATATACTATATAGTTACTTTTTGCTGCCGAACACTCTCTTTGTTTTTGAACTTGCTTGCCGAATGCTGCCGACCCTCTCCCGCCACCTTTTTGTGGCCCGCCCGAATGCTGCCCAACCTGTTTCACAGGACTCCTGCAGGGGAATACTCTCGTTTTCTATTATAATCATCCTGGCACTCCGCGTCTCGTCTGACGTCACCCAGTCTGTCACGTCACGTGACCCATTGGTTTTCCGTCGAGCATCCGCCATCATGCCACCTCCGATGCGGCCTGGCTTGGTCGACATGTGGGTCGCCACCGAGGAAGGTGAGGGAAGGTGGGACGATTTCATCACCAACAGCGGATGTTAGGTGGTTCTTGGCGCACAAGTTGAAAAAGTCAGAGGGCTCATTGGGGTTCCACCAGCCAGCTGTCAACAACTATATCAACGCATGATTCCGCATGATTCAAAGAGGCTTTGTTTAAAGACCATTCCCAACCGAACGTGTGCGCCAACGTTGGCTGGTGGGCAGAGCAACCCACCACTTCCTGCAGATCGCGCCACCGAATTCGAGACGCAGTTGCTTCAGTCTGTGATGTGGCTGTGGGAAAGTGGCACCACTGGGCACCAGACCGACCTGAGCCGCCATGGTCCTCCGCCCCGCCCCACCTCCAACGGCGTTCCCGGCGACGCGGCGCGCGGGCGTTCCATTCCGCCCCACCACCCCTGGGGCTCCGTGCCGGTAAAGTCCAGGGGTCCCAGATCCTTCTTCGCACTCGTCACCTCGGGACTCGGCATCCGTGCGAACTCGGGTTTTCCATGTCAGCATCACAGAGAGCACGCAATCCCAACCCATCAGCGTTCTCATGAAGCCGTTCTGGTGAATCGGCCGGTCGCGGTGCAGAAAGGGTGCCTGTACAAAAATATACAAAAATGCTGGTCAAAAGGATCACAACCAAACCCCAACCCACACCCTGCGAACTTGGCAACAAACTGACAAAGCGAAAAAAAAAACATGCGAAAGAAGAAGGATGCATACGACACTTGCACAACACAACTGGATGAATGCACTGAGAGCGGATAAAGCCACGGTCAATCAAGAATTTCGAATTGCTAATCACATGATTTGTAGATCACAACTCTCCCAAATCTGGATATATAAGGATCTGTGACTTTGTCCCGGTTTCTGCACACAGGCCAGTTGAAGAGTTGAAGATATCTCTTTGTTGAAGACTCGAAGACATCGACTTCTGTTGGCTCCGGCATTTCCCAAGTGGCTTTTGTTCCTTGGTTTCAATAGGGCGATCATTGAACGGTCAGCGCTTTGCCTGTGCCTCAGTGATGTAGTTCAGGATCCTTCAGGTAAGTCTGATGCTCGTGGGATGATTGGTCGTGCGATACCGGCATTGTGTTGTTGGCACCTTGCTTGGTGTCATCTGGGATAAGCTTCTGCTTGGACCAGAATTCAATATGCCGCGTTTGTTGCTTTGCAGCACGAACCTGCTTGGATGCGGAAGCACTGCGCAATGAAGGATGTGAAGGGCAGAGGATGCAGATGAATGGAGATGAATGGGTGATCAGGCGGAAAACTCTCCTTTACCATCTGGAGGTCGAATGCGCAATTCTTTGCTGGAAAAAGTTCCATGTCTACTGTCTACTGGATACAAGACTCCCTATAAAGAGTCTACCATCCCTCGGGGCCATGTACAGAACTCCTTACTTTCTTCGGTCAAGAGACGATCCATCCGGACTGATCACGGATCACTGCCTCGGCTTCAGTCATTGCTCCTCGCCGCGAAGGCGAACGGGACCGGTCGCGGACCGGTCACGGGTCGGAAGAGACGTAGTCGTCACTTGAGATGGAAGTGGAAAAAAAGCCCACCTGCTTGGGCCCCAAACATGCCATGTTCCACTTATTGTTCCACTTCCATGGATCGTTTCAGTACGACTTCAGCGAGAACCCCTCCCTACCTTGACAAAGGGCTCATCATGCCACTTCGGTCTGGTCATATTTTGGCAGGGAACGGCCGAAGAATCACCAGTCCAAAGAAGATGTGACAACCAAGAGTTGGACGAGGTGCCCTCTCCAGCATCACTTGGAACAGTCGCTTGCCTTTTAAGGGGGGGAGCAGGTCCCCAGACATCATTACCAAGGCTTTATGGACATCCAACAAAATCCAAGAGGGGTCAAGTAAGTCTGCCTTGTTTGGTTGGACTCTGTGGAACACCTTCCGATCCATCTCCATCGCGCCTTGTTGGGTGAGAACCGGACGGAGATCAAGGCAAGTCTTGAGTGAAAATGCTGCAGGTCCGAGTCGCCACAGTCACGCAGCGCGGATGCCGAGCAACGTGAGGACGAGCGGACGCTCCGCGGACGATCCGCCCTGTGAGGTCTGGCGGTGTGGCAGCTAGGGGCAATGTCGCCTGACTCTTCAAGTCTGAATTATAGACTACTGAGATTTAGGCCCTCCAGGAGGTGGACTGTCCCGTCTGCACCCCATGTTTCTCCCGTCTGCTTCGAGAAAAAATGATCAAATCCGAGTCCAGTTGCCAGACCATGGCTTTGGGGAACATCTGATTCGAAACCAAAAACTCAAACCCTCGCCTGGAAGGATCTCTCCCAGAGTGCTTCATCCCTTAAGAGAATGAACGACCTTCACAGCTTCTTTCGGAGAGTCCGTCCAACCGATGCAAAACCAGGGGCTCCTGGCCTTACTACAAGTCCAACCGACGATATCCCGGTGACCCGTCGTGCAGGCCACAAGCCGCTCATTCGATCTGAGGCTCCAGGCACCACAAGAAGCTCCAGGAAGAAGCTCCTGGCTCGGTCGTGGTGCGCGGCAAAAGGGGGGGCGGCACATGGCTCTGGGGAAGAAACGGATGGAAAAAAAACAGGTGCTACAGAAGGGCTTTACTGCTTCCCAGACTCCCAAGTCACGTGAACAGTGACCGCTAAGGAAAAAAGCGGTGAAAAGCGGCGCTCTTCCCAGAAGGAGAGGAGCCCTGGGGAGGTTGGCATCCAGCCATGGGGTTCACATGAGTGAACCTGACATCCAGCCATGTGGTTTGCCCTCCAGCCCGACCAGTCTCCGCCCACCTTTTGGGGACGCGGCACAAGGCACTTGGTCGGGGTCACAGTCGAGGCTTCTTGGGCTGCAACGGGCTCTACTAGATGATCACACTTGACATGACGTCATCAGAGAAGCCACACTGATAGCACATACCTCAGAGCTCAAGGGGCCACCATTCCGCATTGCATAGAGTATGAAAACCAGGGTTGGCAGAGAAAATGTGTTCAGAAGACTTGGCAAAGCCATCATACTGTAAAAGTCAACTGTGCCTGGATTCTGCTTTTTCAAGGAGTCCAATGTTCAAGGTTCTGAAAAGGCAAAAAACAGAAAATGATCCTCTTCACCCACCCGCAAATCAACACCAAGGCGACGTCCATCTACATTTCATGAACATTCGTTCTTGCATGTTCTTGCGGATCAACCTCGACCCCGGCGGAGCCGGGTCGGTCGAGCCCAACCAACTGCCGCGGCACAGCTCAAGCCCTCAGCCATCACGAGGCGCTTCAGCTCATCCACCAGCTCAGGCCTTGCTTTGGCCCAGTCCCTCTGCTCAGTCGGATCCTCAGATCTGGTGTATGGTCTGCATTCGGCCCTCAGAGGGGGATAAGTCTATAGTATAAAAGTAAAGCTTATACCGTTTATACATGGATGGATCTTAAGAGGCCTCGTTTGGCGGATGTGAGGCCTCCGGTGGATGAGATGAAGCAACCTAGACCATCCACGCCAAAACTACAGTTGCAGACTGTAGCTTGAGGAAACTTTTGAGAAAGCCGACTTGCAAACTACGCAGCAGACTCAAGACTCCTGCTATCTTCAAACGACAGAAGCAGGTTTCCACAAAATGTTGGAGGGATGTGCACGTGTGTGTGCATATTTAGGACTATATGTAGGTATAATACTGTAATCTAGCCCAGGGTCTGAGATTACAGAGCGAAGCTCTGTCGCAATGCCGTGACCCCTTGTTCACACCGACCATCGGCCAACCTTTTGGAGGTTTATCAATCATGTTTGTTCACACCGGCAGAAGAACAGAAGTGGATGTCTGGCCCTTAGGAGGACCGAGGGTGTTTGGTCCACGTTCGCAGGGAGAGGTCCAATTCCAGCCTTGAGGGATGCTGGAGGGTCAATGTTTCCGTGGCACCCGTCTTCTCTGGACACTCCCTGAACTCATGGAAATGGAACGTTCAGGCCCCTTGGATGGATGACTCTACCAACCTCTACAAACCAGGGGGCTTCACCGCTACCGCCACCTGTTCCGGCTTCGGGCCGTGGTGGGCTCGGGCCGTGGTGGGCTCGGACCGTGGTGGGCTCGGTGACTCGAACAGCTGGGCTCGGTGCAATTGGTTGAAGATCACTCACCACGCAGGTTCTAAATAGGCCAAAGGATGCCGGGCCTGTTGCAACCTGGTCAGTCGCCTGGACGCTTGGACGCGTCAGTTGGGGCAAAGTATTTGTTCCAAGTGTGGAGTCTAAATATATAGAATGTTGCAGGCTACAATCCCTTTGAACGCTCAACTTCTACGCCCCCTCGACCTCTCTCAGCCTTCCTTTCGCCACTCTACCTCGACCACTTCGGCCACTGGTCACGTTGGCCACTTGAAGTGGCTGAAGTGACCTCTGTGGCCAAGTCAAGCAGCACACCTCCTGCGTGCCGAATGTGCTTAGTTCCGGGAGTGTCATGTATCTGATGAAGCCTCGGACCTTCAATTCTGCCTTTGAAGAGAAACCTGTCTCTGAAAACCTGAAAACTCTCATATCCACCCAGCTAACCTCTTGCTCTCCAGGTCTCGCTCTCCAAATCAAAGAGCTTCATCTCATCAGCCCAGCTGGGCCTCCAGTTCTTCGTGTCGTGGCAGTGGGGCACCAAGCCTTTCCAGACGCCCTTTCGCACCGTGTAACCAGGCCCGTTTCGGGCACCGTCGCCGTTCGCGGGACCCAGACCGCCAGACCTTCCCTCGCCGATCCAGGTGAAGAACAAATAGTCATGCTCCTCAGAGAGTCGGCATCCGAAATCTCTGGATCCACGAGCCTTTCCACCGGACGAAATCATGGGATGGCTGGATCGACTGATCGAAAGAAAACACCAAAACAGAATGTGAACATGTTACCGCGTCTATCTGGTTGGGAACCACCACATTTCTTCTCCTGTTGCTCTTGTCCGTAGAGCTCTGGCAGTATGCTGATGCCATCGTTCTCGGGCGCAGTGACACCCAGCAGCTCAGCAACGGTCGGCACCATGTCCCAGAAGGCCCACGCAAACTGCGAGGTTCGCGGACGGATCTGCTGCGGCCAGCGGACCATGGTTGGAGAGCGGACACCGCCCTCGTACATGCTCCTCTTGTGCCCTGACAGACCTGGTCTTGAGTCTTCAGTCTTGGCTGGGGGTTTGGGAAAACAGAAACGTAGGAAGTATGACAGATCCGCCTCAACGACCGGTCACTGAGTGAGAAAGGATTTAAGGCGTTACCGCCTCGACGACCCACCTCCAGTAGAGTTGAAGAAGGCGATTTGATGACCTCCCTCCAAATGTGCACCATTGTCTGAGGCAAAGAAGACCATGGTCTTCTCATCAATCTTTAATGCTTTCAGCTGCTTCATGACATCGCCCACCTGGTGAAAATCGCTCCAGGGGTCCACTTCGACCCCCCGGAAGAGAAGGTCCACCATGGGAAAAACTCTTTGATGCGATCCAGAAACTCTCGATATGTTTCAAAGGTCTGATCTTGTTTGATACCTTCATAATTTCATAATGCATAAATAGTTTCTTTTTTCGAGCTCCCACCTTGTCATCCAGATAGCTAATGACTGCTGCGTGATCTTTCTCAACCTCCGGCCACGGCTGATGTCCGTAGCCCATGTCTGTGGGCACCGGATTTCCTTGTTCTGGCGAGGCAGGCGCGTCACCCCAGCCACCAGCATGTGGCACAGTGTAACTCAAGTACAAGAAGAAGGGTTGCGAGGTCTGGGCCACTTGCCGCATCCAAGACATCGCTTCCTTGTGAAAGACATCGATGGTGTAATTGTAAGAGTCAGGACTCTGCATACAACGCTCCCTGGTCGGGCTGGGGGAATGAATGTTCCCGGAGAGCTTGAAATTCAGTGTTCCATCTCCAGTGTCAATCTCCTCACCAGGGTTGGCGCACAATGTCTCACGAAGGATGCTGCATGCAAGGAAAACAATTTGACACTTGACTCTACTGCACCCTCTGCAAACTCCGCCTTGACATCACCTTCACCGGGTTGACCACAAGTTCCCACCACTGTGCTCCAAGCCCGGAACCAAAAGGAACGTGAGGGAAACTGATGAGTCACATGAGCCTCTTTTGGGTTTGATTCACTGAAGTGACGGTGCTCCCGACGGTGCCCACGTCTCTCAGTTTAGCATACACTCACTCCATTGAGAAAAAGTGGCGCTGAAAAAAAAGAGACTTAAATCAGACCACTCCAGGGACCGACACCTGGCCATCCCAGATTCAGAAACTCTCCTGATCCGAGTGTCCCCAGAAACCCCTCCTTGGGGTACATGTTGTGGCAAAGCGCCTGATCCACTTGCCCCACGAAAACGTCGAAGCCTTGTCTCAGCGGCGACACGAGTGGCGCCAGCTTCCCAAAGGCCCCCGTGCGGAAGCCCGCGCGTTGGAAGAGCTGTGGCAAAAGAGTGAAGTTCTGCTCCTGGGCGAATCAGGTTAGGCGGTCTGAGGGCGGCCGGTGCTCCTAGACCGACCTCCCTGGTCTGAAAACACATCAAAAAGGGCTGGTGTTTGTCGACGACTAAAGATCCATGATGTTCAGGTGTTTGTAACTGCTTGTCGTAAAAGCTATCCTCAAAGTATCTTCAAGCACTAGACACAAATCCCAAACTTCATGTTTCTGGGGCTTGCCCGCAGAACACGCTGTGAAAGACAAAATTGATTCGGAAGCACCAGGCCCTGCTTCGCAAGACGGAAACTGCTGCGGCGCAGGCCAACCATACTCAATCATCTAGCGATGAAGCCTGACAACAGCTCCTTCAGGAGCTTCGGCTGAAACCGCACCAAGAACATGCCTACGTTGACTTGACTCAGATCCCGCTCGAGTTTATTCTCTGCCAGCTCTTAGGTCTTTCCAAGCGGAATGTAGAAACCCATCTTCGCTACCTGGCGATTGAACCATCCAAGTTCCCCCCTCAGCCCTCAGCTCACCTTCTCCCCATGTCTCCCCCCAGTTCCGGTGCCATTTGAGGCTCAGGCTTCAACTCCTCACCATTCAGCTGCAGCGCGCGGAAGTGCCCGCTGTGGCGCCCGGTGAAGAACGTGGTGCGGCTCGGCGCGCAGACGGTGTAGCCCGCGTAGGCCTGACCGTGGCGAAGCTCGCACGCGCGAGGTTCGAAGGCTGCGGCGAAAAGGGCGCCCCAAGAATCTCCCTCGAGTGAGGTCAAAACCACAAAATCCATGGCGCTGGTATCCAGGAGAGTAGATTTATACTCACTAACCGCCACTGTTTGGTGAGGTTCCTCGGTACAGCGCCATTCTTCAGCTTCGCTTCATCAGCACTGGGGAGACCAAGTGCTTGTAAGCTCTTCTTTCTGACCCAAACAACCGCTTCTCCACGAAGATCAAGACCACTGAATGGGTGGTGGGTACTGAATGGGTTGTTCATACACCACTGCTTGTGGGCCTTAATTTGGTGAATATTGCGCACCAATGGACACTTTTGCTTCTTCCCAAGACTCTTCCTTTTTTACCTCACCATCTGCACCAAAACGACCCCCGGACCCTCGTGCCTGCTGGAAGCGCACGCCTTCCCGTCCGAACCTTGGTAGGTTGTGAACCCCGGGGGGGGTCACCAGGAGGTAGTGGAAGATCTGACTCGACAACGTGGACATGTGGACTGACATGTCGGATTTCGGGATTAGGGATGACTTGGGATGATGTGCGTCCTTGCAAGATCGAAGTCTTAGGGATCCTGTAGACTTCTAACACTTGGGAAACGGATTGATATTCGTATTTGAGAGAGCTTCCTGAGACTTTCCTGACAAAACCCACATCCCACAGTGACCCACTCAGCTCATCTTCAGGCCGCTGGTCCAGGTTGGGCGTGGCGATGCGTCCGTGCGGAGACTCCGCAGGATACAGGCCAACCTGGTGTCAAAGAAGGCCTAATTTCAGGAGGGTTTCTCTCCATACTGAAAAACGGCTTCCCACACACGTTTATATACAACATCTTACAATGGTTTTTTGATCTAGCTGTGCCCTTCAAGCAAATGCCATGGAGATGTGATTTGCGCATCATTTGCCACCACAACTGAAAATACGCATGTCCAAAACCTTCAAAACCACATCGAAACTTGTTCTATTTGACATCTGCCACTCTTTTAGCCTACCTTCCCACCTATAACCCAGGCTCCCGGCTCCATGTCACGCCTCGCCCCAGCCCAGATCATCGGCCATGATCCAAATCATGTTGGGCGCTTTTCGAGCCAAGGCCAAGCTCCAGAACTGCAGGGCCGCCACGCACAGCGCTGGGGCCCAGCTCAAACGTAGCATGGCTCGAACAAATCGCCGCGCGGTGGCGAAGAGAACACACCGTCCCCGGCGCCGGTCGAACGCTTCGAAAAGATCTGTGAGAGCCATACGGGTCGCGGTGGCGTCTCTTCGTGTTTGCACAGGTGGTCGTGGTCGGTTGGTTGAGAAAAAACGCAGCCCTGCAGAGGGTTTTACGGTTTACAAATGCTCCCGGTAATCCACCAACTCTAAATTCTGCATGGCCGCCGCTCACGCGATCTTCGAGGACCTGGGAGTTCTCTTCATCAAGGCCCTTTGGGCATCGGCGCCTTAGAGCCATTGATATATAGGCTCTCCTAGCATGAAGCATCAATACCAGAAAGCCATCATGTACAAGTACCTTGGAGTCTTCACTAAGGCTGCACGGGTTCTACGCAGGGGGTGGCCGCAATTCCAGACTTGTTGGGTGCCGCCCATTCAAACAACCAACAACGGTCGGGCATCCTGTTCGTCGGGCATGAGTGAGAAGCCCAAAAACATCGCAACACGGATTCTGGTGCCAGCCAAGTCTATCTTGAACCTGGGTTGGGGGGTGCCCTTCTGGATGTCTCCGTTGCCCATGTCCACCAGGAGTTTCTTCCGTGGACACTGCAAGCAGGGATCACTACAGTGCACTTCAAGGAAGTGTCCGACACTCCCTTGTAGAGGAACATGTACAGATTGTCCTCGGTTATATATCCATGCTTTCCCATAAAACATCGCTATTGATCATCAATATTGCTCCTCCTCTTCACCGACCTGCTTTCTCCAAAATGTGCGGAGCTCACCACGTAACCCACCGTTCATCGAAAGCTCCGGTCCTTTCGCCTTGGAGAATCACGCTCCCACACCAGATCCTGGCGAAAGAGATCCAAAAAAGGGTCATGAGAAGCCTTCGCTCTTCGTCCAGGAGACCTGTTTTGGGGGGGGTATGTGATACAGGTGACAGGCGAAACTGCATGTGACAGGCGAGGTCGAGGTGTTGATTCAGTGGTGAGAGCGCGAAAGGAGACGTGAGCGAAGTGAGGTGCTACTTGCATCATCCTGCATCTACTTGCAGGCTGCGTGCGTTTATAGCTGCAGTACCTGCAGTTACGGAAGCAGTACTCTTGCGAGGGCCTTTGTCACAAGGCATGCTTTGCTGGTTGAGATCACCCATGCACTTCAATCCTTCACTCTCCAAGCTCTCAATCTTTTGGTACCAGTAAACCAGGAAAGCACCGGCAAGCTGCTCTCAATCACACGCGGGCAGCACGGAAGTCGGATGGCCAAGAAATGGAGCTCCACAAGTATATCAAGTCCACAAGATTGGTAGTTTGGCCCACAAGATTGGCCCGCGGATCCCCATGATCTGACGTCGTGCATTCACTTGGCATCCACAAGTATAAAAATTGGTCCCCAAAGAGTATTTGTGGCACGGTTTCTAAATGCATGTTTAGTGGAGATTTACTTGCCTATCTATTTGGGAGTCTACATACAGTAGATATATTTGGGTACAAGTACTGTGGACTCCTTAAGTGTGTCGTTTGATCCTTGAATGGTCCACCACTCAGTCCACCACACGTGTCCTTTCCTTTCCGGAGTCCAGCCTCAGCCATTCGCCATGCAATTGGTTGGACCGGTGAGTGCTGCAAGTGATGCCCCTAAAACATCCTTAAACCATCTATCTAAGACCATCTATAACACGCGCACTTGAGTGCGTTTCGTTGTTGCATTCAGTTCTGCAGCTTTTTCATGGGCAAATCCACCAGCGAGTGAAAAGCCCTGCACTTTTGCTTTTTCGAGTGAAAAAAAAAACACACCCTTTCCTTTCACTCGAAAGTTCTCTTGAGCCGCCTCGAGTTCTCCGCGCGTGTGGTGCCGTGCTACCGAAAGCGGTCCCCATCCACTGAGGCGACCGAGCCCACCCGCTGTGACCGAGCGGCGGCTGCTGGGCTTTGGTGGCATCCCAATGTTGGGGGGCCGTGGAGGGTGTCCACCATCCACATGGCAGTCATGATGTCATGGCATGTGGACCCCATGACTGGACTGAATGGAATGACCATGACCCCATGACCATGTGGACCCCTTTTTTGGAGGACCCCATGTCATGATGTCATGCTGAAGGACCCCATGATTGAAGCCGATCCCAGTCTCCGGAGGTCAACCTCCCATCGGTTCGCAGCCGACGTTCAAGAGCAAGGGATCTTGCCTCGAGTTCGTCGGGCAAAACATGAGCCATGAGCATGAGCCACCAGGCAACAAAAACATACTAACGTTTGAGAAGAGGCTGTCAAGCAGTTCCTCTGTCAAGCAACCTTCACCCCCATCGATCTCCCTTGACCCCCAGCCTCACCTTCACCCCCCACCCCCAGCCTCGAAAACATCACAAATGGACGCAAAGGTGCCAATGTGGCCACCGACCTCCAGGTGTTCTTCAGCTTGGAACCGGGGATCTCCCTGCCTTTATTTTTGCCTCGGGGACTCCCTGCCGAAAACATGGAGGGCGGCGACTCTTTCAATAGGGGGACGAGTCTTCTCTGCAAGGGGAAAGCGAAGATTTGGGAGGTACTTTCCTCATAAAGTACTTTCGAATTCTCTGCAATGTACCCTTCTCAGTGAAATTAGAAAGGACTTTATGATGTTAAATTACTTAATTACTTAACAAAGATAAACGGTTAAATTCTCTGCAATGTACCCTTCTCGCGGCTCACATCAGCCGCAGCCCACTGAGTTTGGACCAAGCTCACACTGGTGGGGGTGCCCTTGCGCCGCCCTTCTTTTGGTGAGGCTGGTACCCCCAGCACGTCGTCCTGAAAACTGGCCAACCTGATATATGGTACACCCAAACCATCCTCAAACAAATCTTGAGGCAACGGATCCTCTTTCAAACATTTTGAGAATGATTTCCAGGTCTCAGTTGAGGTTGGGTCCTCGCCGCCATTTTCCTCCAGAGGCAGCGTGGTCTTCTTTTCACCCGAGGGGTCCAGGAGCGAGAGGAGAGTAGATGCCAGAGTCAGCTCTGAGATGAGCTGATGCCGCGAAGCTTCGATGAGCTGATGCCGCGTGATGTCTTTCTCTTCATTCGAAGCCGCTTGTGATCTCTGAGAGACCCCTGCAGCGATGGAGATTTCAGGTTCTCCATGTGCTTCTTGCCGAGTCTTGCTTGTGGGTGATGCGTGTTCGTCTCATCAAGTAGAACACCATATCAATTCCACCGGCATCCAATACAGTAGGAATCGATTGGAGTCCTGCACTTCCAGCTGAATGAAGCTCCGACTCCACGACGTCGCCCCTTGCGGTCGCCCCTGCGGTCGCGCCAGCGCCGTGCAGAGCCCGGACGGTCGTTCGTCCCAAGAGGTTGAGATCCGATGCGGTCAGACGGTCCAGCCATCAAGACGGTCCAGCGTCTCAGAAGACAAGACGGGACGCACCCAGCACCCAAACGGTCTGCTTCAAAACATCTATGTATATTATTTATATTTATACATGCGTGACTTCAGCCACTGATCATTAATCTTCCTTCCTGGCTTCGCCGTCGACGATCTCCAACTGTTCCTGGCCGTGAGGTCCGGTGACGATGACGTTGTCGATGGCGCTCACCAGAAACGCCGCACCGCCCAGGCCAAAGTCCACCTCAAAGCTTTCCAGCGGAAATGTGACCACCAAGCAGCCGTCCTGCTGCAAGAAAGCAAAAAAAAACGTGCCCAAAACCAGATGTGGCATGTCACCAGTGGTATTAATTATTAAAACATGGGCCCTACAGAACTTGCTAAGAATATTTCTTGGATGAACTTGGGTTCAACTTGGATGAATCGAAAAAAGACACAAGAATCCACTGGTGGTCGTCTCCGATGGTCGGTCCGACTCCTGCACGTGCAGGTCAAAGGCTTCGATCACCTGGACCTCTGGAGACTTCAGGAACCATTTCAAGTGCCCCCAGACCTCCTGCGGCCGGAGCGACCATGACCATGACCTCCATCAACCAGGAGGTCAGTCCATGACCAGGTCACATGGTCTGACCTCTGGAAAGTCCGAGAACAAACGATGCACCAAAGTCCATGTGTTCTATTGTTTGTTGAGAAGGTCTCTCATCTGCATTGGCCTTCTTGGCTCATCGTGACCGTACGGCTGAGGAATCAGGGGGCGTCCTACGTGGGAGGGCAGGCGTCCCACAAGGCGTCCCAATCCAAAAAACATAATAATGCTCATCCGGGCGTGTTTTTGAATAGGCAGACACCCTGGCCCATACGTTTTAGTCTAGTTTTTGTGCTTATATTATATAGAGGTCTAATCTGGAAGGTCTCCCTAGTTCTAATGCACACCCACCAAACACACACCGTACCTGAACACCGTACCTAATAGCCCATCGTCGCTCTTCGAAGCCACAGGGTCCTTCCTCAGAAACTCGACTTGTGCCTCACGGCGGCACTTCGGCCACATGGGTTCCTCAGCGGAGACTGCTGTGTCCACGCTACCGTGCGACGTGCGAGTAAGACAGCCATGGTCCAAGTGCAGCAAACTACACATGAATATTACTGTACTATGTCTGATATGCAATAATAAACATCAGCAAAAAACAAAATCTATATTATATATATATATAATTATATATATATATATGTGTGTTCTAATGTTCTATATGTTCTAGAACATGCTTGTGATAACCTTGACTCAAGACTTTATCCATTGCAGTATTTAGAGGTCTTCGAGGAACAAGGCACGATGCCACATGATCATGGTCCGTCCGTCCGCACACGACAAACGAGAAGAATGCTCACCCCATCGGGCTTGCCAATTGGTTGAACCTCAGGAGAACCCGTCGCTGAGAATTATCTTCCCCTGGCAGTTTGTTACCGGGATTTATCTACTCTTAGATACCAAGGAGAAGAATGACCCTATGCAGCAAAAAAAATCGACAGCCGCACGCCCCAGCTCAGTACAGAAACATCGACACCAAGTCCAATCCACAGCTGAGTCCCGACCCCTCCTGCGGCTGAAGCCTCACGCCCTGCTGCTTGGCCCTGCTCAACGCCCGTCCGCGCGCCCACGCAAGCACCACCGTGGGGCGTGCCCGCCACGCCCAGGACGGCACCGTCGCCACGCGGAAGCGCGCCAGGCGCCAGTGTCGGGGCTCGGCCTCTGGAGATGCAAGGACTTAGGGCCTTATACTGTAGGGATGCGATGGGGAGATACTGAATTCAGAAAATTCAGAGCAAAGTGCGGATGGCTTTTACTTTGGATCACAAGGCAGTTTCCAAGAATCACCTGCTTAAAGCCTCAATCCCAAAGCCGCAAGCACTCTACAATTGAGCTGAGCAGGAATCTGAATCTGCGACCCACCCAGACCTCTCTGCTCATGGTCGAACGAAAAGTCCTTCTTTTCGTGTGGCAGATCTGTTCCCCTAGACTTTCCAAGACTATGTTTAAAAATGGTTGACATGGTTTTAAGAGTGTAAAGTCTGTAAAACAATGGTGCTTCGGGATTCAGCCTATTAAACTGATGGTTGGACGTCTAAGGATCCTGTTCCCTGCGATGGGTACGGTCTGTCAAACAAGAACTGGGCGCTCAACCAAGTGCTGCTCACGGATGGTTGAGCGGTTGAGCTGGCGCCATCTTCCGCCCTGAAGGATACCCACCCCCGATGCCATGTCCAAAACCAGCACACCTGGAGCTCTGGCAGAAGCAGCGCCAGCTGCTGTTCCCCAAAGGGCGCTGCCACCAGCACCTCTTTCAGCGCGGCTTCGGCTTCAGTCGTGGAACCATCGATCTGCCGTTGTTTCAGCAGACTGGCGATCGTCAGCAGCATCACCTGGAGCTTGGACTCAAGGAGAGAACGTGGTGGTACTGTAAGATGTGGTAGGGTATGATGGTATGCGGATGCATGTGGTCCGTTATATGTTCATTCGTTTTTTGCATCGGTCTTTCTTTATATTTCATTATACAAGTCACCCTGTCGCAGACTCCACCGTAGACTCGCTCCTCTTTTTCTTTAGTGGCTTCGTTACTTGTAGCGATGCACCTTCTTACTAGTAGTGGGCTCCACCCATCGTCATTTCGACGCCTTGGAGCAGGTGAAGCGCCGCAGAAAGCGCAGCGCCATGCCCAGCACGTCCCCGTGCGCACGCCGCCGGAGGAGCGTCTCGGGGTCCGGCGAAGGGCAACGGTAGAGCCGCCCAGTCGAGGACACGAGCCAGTCGACCAGGGCACGCGACGGTCTCGTCTCAGTGGCCTGGATGAGCATCTCTAAGAAAATCAAGGGACTATGGTAACCAGATGTGCAAAAGAACCGGTGAATGTCATGAAATGTCCATCAACTCCAGTTCACTTGGTAGAATATGGTAGAATGATGTAGAGTGCATGGTCCTAAATAGATCTTCCATTGGGAGGAACTAGGTCAAGACCCGAAAAGATGCGCCCTTTCAGTCTTGGACCTCTGCTCACCTCCACAGCTTCACGAGGATATATCCAGAGCTGATCTCGCTGCGGCGATTCACAGCGGATGCCCAAGAGGTCACTCACCTCCTCCACCGTGAGGTTGTACAGCTTGGGAAAGAGGCTGAAAATGTCACCCTGGAGGTCCAACGCCTTAAGATTGTTGCTCAGACAGACTTCCAGCCTCCCATCTGGCACTTCCAAGACTGGCACCAAAGCCACCACCAAGTTCACCACCCCCACATGGTCTGCCACATTCGACGTGAAGACTCGCTCAAAGCGAGTCTTCCCACTCCACCTGAGCGCCAGGCAGTCGCCGGCCCGCACCGACCATCGAAGTGAACCGCCCCACGGCGCCAGCGCCGCCAACGCCTGCGCGCTGCGTGGGAGCAGCTTCGTCAAGGCCCCCAAGTACTCGGCGCGGCCGGGCGCGCCGGCGTCGGGATCGAACTCCTCGTCCTCGGGCAGTGGTGGCCACAGAAGGACCCCGTCTCCAGCATCTTGCCAGCCGGAAGGCACGGCTTGGCCCGAATGCAAGTTGTACTGAAGGCGCGCGGAAGTGTGTTGGAGCGTGAGGTTGAAGACACATGGCGCATGTGCAAAAGCTTCAGCAGCCTCAGCTAGGTCGGATTGTGACAAGTCAGCTGTCTGCAAGACCTCTTGCAGCTCGGTGCCAGTGAAACCGGCATCACTTCTCCATTGTTGAATCCATTTCTGTAGCACTTGTCGAGTTCCTGTGCAACAACTTTTCTGCGCTTGTTCAGCTGCATGGCACAACAGTGGCACAGCTGGCATGGGAAGTTCATGTAACCACCAGACAGTGAAAATGGACAGGATCCTGTGCCCTAATGGGTAATCGCCTTCTGAAAGCAACTGCAGCATCAAAGCATTTCGCGCACAGGTCTCAGCATTCAGGTCGTTCAACACGCAGGTCACCGACCTCGGTCCTCCCTCCAAGGCCTCCAGTGCCACGAAGAGGTGCCGCAAATCCGAGAGCCCCACGAAGAGCAGCCGCGGCTCCAGCGCAGAGAGGTCCGAGGTCAAAGGCAGGAAGCGTCCCGCGGCGTTGCCCACGGGAAAGAACGCCGGAGGACCCACACTCACCGGCGCGCGCAGGGACGTGAACTGTGCCGGAAGCGCGGCGGCTCCCACCGAGCTGTCCCCTGCGCGCAACAGCTCCTTCCCCGCCAGCAGCAAGCGCCCCGTGAGCTCGCCCACCTGCACCGCAGCCGGGTGCTCAACCCGCAGCGCTGCCAACTTGGCCCGGGCCGCGCCCAGCACCTGCCGCCTCCGCGAGCGCGAGCGCGTAACGCGGCGCTCCGCCCCGCGCGGGTCGCGCTCGGCACGTGCCAAGAGCTCTTCGATGTCAGTGGTCTTGGGCAGCGCCGCATGCAGGATCTGACGGCTTTGCTCCAGGGTCTCAGCCTCCAGCAGCACCATTTCCAGCTTCCGGACCGAGAGTCCAAAGCGCTGGGCGGCCACCTTGGCCAGCAAGCACAGCTCCCATCCTTCCGGACACTCGGAGAGAGGGTCCCCAGCTGTCCGGGCACAAGTGTCAAGGAGAGCGGACCAGGTGGCATCGTCCATGGGCTCGAAGCTCTTGCCCGGGCTGGAAATGCATCTATGGGAGACAAAGACATGCTGGTCTAGCAGATAGAGAGAGGAGTCACTGGTCTTGCTTCTGAGCTCGTTTTTCCAGTTGAACAATGTCTTCGGATGGGACTCGGCTCGAAGGAGGGAGGTTCAAAACCTAACATGCCGTCAGTCTCGATCTCGAGTCCTGCAGGTACAATCGTCAGCAGGTTACATCATCGCTCGACCTTTGCACAAATCCAAGTGACGATGTCCCCGACTTCCAGATCGGACCTTCAGAAGAAAGGCTCGCCTGGTTCTGTACCTATATATAGTCTCAATTTTAGAAGCAAAGGCAAAGGCTGCCTGCTCAACACCCGTAAAACGCATCAGTGGAAGTCTGAGCAGCCTTGCTCTCCCCAACGCGCGCGGGGGACGGGGCGGCACCCCGGCAGCGCGGCGGTTCCCGTCGGAGACCATCACCGCGGCGTTCCACCGGACGAGGTTCGAGATGCGGCTCTCCTGGCGCCAGGTTTTCACAAGAGCCCCGTTCGTAGCGTCCAATCGCTCCGTTCGTAGCGATGCCAGGAGCCCCGTTCGTAGCGTCCTTGCTCCTAAGTAGTACGGCCAGGAGCCCCTAGTAGCGTTCTCCTGGAAGTTCTTACTTTGAACACTAGTAGTTGTAGACTTCCAAGTACTGAGAAGGTATTTTAATGTATTTTATATAGTAGGGCAGGGGGGGGTCGAACTACCTTTATCAGGATGTATTTGGAATCTCAGGGTTGGTGTGAAGCCACATGTCCCTTGCTCCACACAACTCTTGACATGCAACAGAAGTTTGGACTGGAGCAAGGGTCGGACTCTGAAACAATCCCGGCAACAGGTTGGGGTTGAACCAACCAGAATCCAGCCATACCAGCCATCTGCAGATTCCAAGGCCATCATCTGATTTGTCTCTGACTCAACACAAATCGCGCGAAGACGCGGAGGAACAGGGGTGTTGTGATCGACGTCGAAGAAGTGAGGCGTGAAGCGTTCAGGTGGCGTTCAGCTTGAAAAAAGGCGGATGTAGCAAAGGTGATCGTGTCATACGGTCTGATTTGAAAGCCCAAATACTTCACCGGACTCCCCTCCTTCCTCTCACGTTCTCACCTCTTCTGATCCATCAAATGATGGCTTCAATTTCTGTTTGCCCTTAGAAGTCCGAAGATATATTATGATATATCTATGTTTGCCCCACCCAAGGACATTCCGAACCTCGGGTCACCCAGTCAGACCATTTGAAACAAGACCACTTGGACTTTTAGGGTGGCTTTGACTCGAATCATCTCATTTTCAGGCGCGGAAGTCAGGATCAGGGGGCGGGCGGAAGTGCGTTTCGAACCCGCTCCAGCGTCAAGTCACCCGGATACTCGGGCTCCATGTCGGTGGGGATGGTGTTACACCTGCGTGCGTGCAGTGGGCGGTCGAGAATCTGTCCTCCAGTGGCGGACACCAGCGGACCAGGAGACTAGGGGGAGATCATCGGAATGGTGACGCTTTTTTTGACCCTGGTCATTTTGGGCCTGCTCTTTTTCTGATCTTGCTTTTTTGACATGCTTTAGGTATTGAGTCAGTTTGAACTGATATATGCTCGTTGTAGAGTCCTGGATCCTGATTGACCCCTCTTTTGCCTTCATCCCAAAAAAAGGAAACGCTTCCAATCAAAACAGCTGTCAATCAGATGCTGTGGAGCTCCAGCTGACATCTCCACAAACATGGCTCGCAGAGCTCTAGCTGCCCAGCGAGGGGTGACGGCCGCACTTCTTTTGGCTCTTCCTTTCTCGCTGCTGCAGCCGGCCTGACGGAGTCGTCGCGAGTTTGAGGGTTAGCAAAGCACAGACCACAAAATGTTCAAGATTCGAAGCCCACAAAAAGTCCGTGAAATGCTCCTGCAAACCTGGATTCAACCTACCACAGAGCGGCAAAACCGAAAGAGACCCAGGCCCTTGCCAGGTCCTTGCTCCTTCTCAGGCCCTTCCCAGGTCACCGGAAGGGGTGAATGAAGCTGAGGTCGCTCTTGAAGGTGACAAATTTTTACTGATCCAACCCACCCTTCCCGGAACCCTCCCCGCAACAGGGCCCTGACCCGGCCCCTGGAACTCCACGGGCAGCGAGACATGGAGGCGGCCTGAAGAGACATCATTTAGAAAAATCCATTAGTGAATGTTAGTGAGGCTTCTTGTCTTAATCTTGCAAAATGGTCTTCTTAACATCTGGGGGCCTGCAAAGCTGCTTTGGTTCTTCTAGTTGCATGCGTGAGAGGTGCTACCCTGCTGTTTTGTTTTTTCTGGTTGCATACGTGTGCGGTTGTAGACCCTCTTGCCCCACCATGCGAAGAAAAAAAGGCACAAGCTGCTTTCAAGGCTCGTTTGAGTCCTTGTAGAACAGGTGGAGGAGCATCTACAGCAAGATCTGAGGCCCTAAACAGGATGAAAATCCTCAGATGGCCAGCTAGGGAACTCCCTTCCTTCAAGGTCCGCTCCCGACCACGTTCACCACCAGGCGCCCTAGCTTGGTGATGGGACACCGGACTCTCCAAGTGAACTCCTCCAGTCCTCCCGCCCCACCGAGGCGCCCCACCGCACCCGTTCCTCGGGTCGTCCACCCCGCCTGGATTCCCGGGCACCTCGCCGGTGGCAAGGCCAAGCCTCAGGCGTCCGGCCGAGTGGGTCGGGCGCTCGGAGGTCCCGGGACGGTCTGCGGTCGCCGTGGTCGATGATGCCAGGAACAGGTCGTATCCGGTCGCGGGGAGAGAACAGCGTGGAAAAGATGGTGTTTTTGACTCCGTGTCAAAGACGTAGTCATCACATCTTTAAAGCTTCTTGGGCATCCATGCCTGAAGGATCTTGGCATTTGCTCCACTTTCTCACACATGCCAAACGGAACGCCCAGACCAAGGCCGCGGTCTCCCCAAGCTGACCAAGACTATCCAGCCCGGCGTTTTGTTCTCCCCAAGCTGACCAAGACGATCCCCAACAATGAAGCGCTAAGACTTGAATCCCAGAGCATCATGGACCCATCATGACATTAAAGCAAAGACGAAGGGTTTCAGAAAAGAGTTGTCATTGGGTTCATTTACAACGAGTACGTTGTCAATGGGTCATTCCATTGCTGGGTCACGGTGGTCTCGAAGACAGCAATGGAATGCACCTTTCATCCAAAGGCCGCAAGAGACAAACACTATTTTCTGTATTGACAGCCCCCGCTGACAAACAGCCAAGGAACACAAGTCAGCCAAAAAAAACATCTTGCACCTGTGCAGCCAGTTCTGACATGGCTCCATCATTACACCATCATCTACACAGTATACTTCTTGGGGTATTGCTCCTCAAGGTTACCTATCGCCACCACATGTTTGCCAACATTTGGTGATGCCATGGCAGTTCACATGACCAGCTTTACATTCCATGTTTTGATGCGTTTTTGTATAGCATGTATGGTTCAAATATCCTTACAAACCACATCAAACCACCGCGGGAGATGGCCAACCATCGCTCCACCGCGGTTCCGGGCGTCCTTTCTGGGCGCCCCGACTCGGAGTCTAAGAAGTGAACCAAGGCCTCCTTCATCGAAGCGCTGCCTGGAGCGATAGTTGGGACATGGAAGTTTCTTCCCCCCAGAGAGGAAGAAGCAAGTTGCTGCCTGGTCTCCTTCCCACGAAATGGAAACGATCCAGGGTGACTTCCCAAGACTGGTCCATTGGGAGCGATTTGGCTGCTCTTCCAGCAGCTTCTCGCCTGGAAGAGCCTGGAAGAGCCAAGAATTCCAGGCCCAGCTTCGCTTCATCCGGATGCCCTGCTCGCACTGAGCCTCCACACCTTCTCGGCTATGCGACGCTCGCCCGGTGATGAGGACCAACTCGCCTGGGAAAACATCAATGTGGGATCATAGTGGTGGTGGAATGAACATCATAGTCTGGTGCGTCTTCATAAATAGAAAATAGTATCCTCAAGTACTAACTCACAAATACATGCTGTGGATTCCATCAATCTCACCCACAAAAATGGAGTGGAAGCCGCGCGTGCTCACGTTGCACCGCCCCTCCGGCCTGTGTCCACCCCCGCCAGGAGCCGCTCGCACACGGCCGCCAGGGCGGCCTCCAAGGCCAAGTCGTGCAGGTCCTTCCCCCGTCCGAGCCGGGCCTTCCGGTCTCGACGGAGGGCGGCTTTTTGGAGGGGGGGCAGGGCAACTGCCGGGGTCGAACACCCCGCTGAACCGCGTGGCGAGCGTGGTGGACGGGGGTGGGGGTGGGTTCGTGCGGAGCGAGTGCGGAGCGAGCTCATGGCCATGGGAGACTTCTGATGGGAACCAGATCCCGTTCAAGGCCACCAGACAAAGACAAAATCCGGAACAGCAAAAAACGGAGGCCAATGGATTCAAATGGGCAAGGTCTGCAGTCGCCCAAGCCGAGGAGGAAATTGGTTCCATCCCCCCGCGAAAGAGTCCACCAAAGCAGACGGTCCGCGGGTCCAGCAGGTCGGGACCCCGCGAAGGCGCACACCTGAGCCGTTCGGGCCGCTGGCTTCCACGTTGGACAAAGGGTCAGACCTCTCTGGTAGACCAAAGGATCCAGGCGGCTAGGACCCCCACTCACGCCGCAAAGAAAGGGACTAAGGCACCGGGCAATCCCAACACTTGGGCTTCCCGGTAAAGGCACACAGCCTGGCAGAGCAGTAGGCGCGGGCTGTAAAAAGGGCCACAAACTCACAAAAACAACCGCCCTTAGAAAAGAACATAACAACAGAAGAAACCAGGGTCTTCCAGGCTGCCATCTTGAGGTTGAGTGTTGGAGATATTCATTTACAAAAACCAAGGCCGCAACATACAGTTGTTTCACAGTAGATGGCACAAACCCCAAGTTTGCTGGTTTCTATGGACCCCCATCTTTTCACAGACTATGTGGTCTCCCGGCAAGTCCAGGCAAGCCCAGGTGCCTCCGGCAAGCGTCCGGCGCGCATCACAGCGACAATGGCCTCATCTAGCGACGGTGGTTTGGACGTTGAGGTGTGTTTCGGATAATTATGTATCAATAGATGTATCTATTTGTTTATTGTTTTTTTATGCTCTTATTTACGTATTTATTTAACATATATATAATAGACGGAAAAGTATTTTGTGTGCATCTTAATTAATATGTAATATGTAGTATATACAATATACACATACATGTTCTAAAAATGTTGTTTAATATGTCTTCGTGGTGGCTTGGTGGTCCTTATAAATCATGGTCGAGGTCCATCTCGCTAAGGCGCTGGAATTCCGACCCAGCAAGCCGAAACATCGCAGCTGGGGAAAACAAGACTTCCAGGAGTCACAAAGGGGTGGCTTTTTTGTCCCATCCAGTGAGTGGACAATGGGCACCCCGACTTCCTCCAATATGCAACCCTTTGTGACTGCTGGTTTGTTCATTTGTTCTGTTACTGCAATACTGGCTTTAGCGGCCTTTAGCGCCCTGAACTTGATTGAGGACCACCCGAAAACCTTGATCCACGCAAGTGTGTCTACCGGCACTTTTTCCCATCCGGTCTACCTCAAAAGTCGCTTGGCATCTACCGGCACGTTCGGTCACCACCTGCCTCCGGCACGTTCGGTCTCCCAAATGCCACTTTCGAAGAGACCGGTAGAGTCGGGTGCTGGTACTTACAATGGTTTCGGAGTAGATGGCACAGACCTCAAATGTTCCTGAAAATTACTGAAAATCACCCAACTTGGGGCCCTTGTGCCTTCTACTCTCAATCCACTGTATGTTCGCTGCCGAGTCACGCGTTCCAGCAACTCCTTCCTCGACATCGAGGAGTCCCGCGCGGAATCCCAGGCCTGGACCCGGCGGCCAGCCAAGGCGTCGGCGTAGAAGGGGGGGTTTGAAAGGTCCCAAACTCTACAGTATCAAACTCTCAATTTGTCACATGAGTGCACTACCAGATGTTCAAACTCTCAATTAAACTCTCAATTTGTCCCAAACTCTCAATTAATCAATTTGAAAGATCCCACTACCAGGGGTCACATGGAGTTGGGTGGCGTTTTTGTCCCATCCAGTGAGTGGATGTGACAGGGGCACCTAACCTCCTTCCTCCGTTCGTTCGGCACCCCGTCTTGTGACTCCTGGTACCTGGTTCTTCTAAGTGACCCTTTGAGATCACCGTATTTGAGATCACTTGGGTCTGTAAAGGGTCACTTAGGCACTCCAAAGAGGTCATTTTGAAGAAGCTGGTAGTTTGGAGCCATTAAGCAAAGTTGGGAGTAGGAAAAGTAAGGGAACGACCATGCGGGGGGAGCTTGTAAGTTTGAAACCGACTCATGTTGATTGTTAGGTGAAAGAAAAGTTGCACCGATTGACCAAGCACGTCATGTCAATGTGAGGTCTGACTCTACCTGATCACTTGTCAACCACAAAATCCCATGGTCACCGCGACAATTATGCTATTTGTCCGTTGGACAAGGGCATCCTGGTGCCCAGCCATGACCGGCAACCGGTGGCCAGCCATGGTATAGTCTAGCGCGTCTAGCGTTTCTCGGTCATCAACTCCTCACGGAGTGACTGGCCCAACGCGCCTGCTGGAGCAGCTCCAAGGCAGTCTCCCACCAAACCGCCTCGCGGCCCACGGCCGTGAGCCTGATCCCCAGCAAGGGCTTGTGCAACGCGTCGTCTGCCCAGCTAGGCATGGGTGTTCCCAACAAAACCAGAGAACCTGGTTGTACATCGCTTTCAAGACGTCTAAGGTTGCCCGTGTGAGGGCCATCGTTCATGACCCTTCCGATGCGGCTGCAGTCTTGACTTCTTCACCCTAGAATCCTTTGAACCCTCGTGTCGGCTGCATGTGCACATTACGGTGAAGGAGTTTTGTACCCTGAAACGGGGAACCACCACACTCTACTAAAGGACTCGCAACTAGCTCCTGCAATCCTTAATGAGCAAACTCCTGCAACAGCTAGTAATCGTTAGAATTATTTGGATCCAATATCACTTATGGAAGAACTCCCAAGGCAACGTAGGCTAACCACAGCGCCAACCATGCCCAGTGACACAGCACCATAGCTTCCTTAGCTTGTGCAGCTCAAAGTGGAGCATTCATGCCAGTCAGCGATTGTGGTGTCTCCGATGGCTCCAGAAATCTCACTCATGTCTAGGTTCTGCCACTCCAATTGTTTGGGCAGGCAGGGTGCACAAGCGCTTCCGACCAAATCTCTTCTCTTGGCAGGCTAAAAACGTTGGGAGGCTCTAGAAGCAAAGCGCGTCTTGAACTAGGGTTTTGCTGTTTGTATGATGTCCAAAGGTATTGAGTCCGAGTCCCACCAACTTCCACCAAGCATCCTGCATCCGGCTTCACGGCTGATCTGGGCATGTCCTGCCACAGTTGCAAGCAGTGCAGTCTGCAAAACGGTCCTGTAAAGCAAATGCCTATCAAAGACCTCACTCACTCCAAAAAGCAACATAAAAATGAAAATGCAAAAACTTCCGGACATGTAGATCCTCCAACCTTCAATTCAAGTGGGTCTGTTCCGCCCCAAACCGAAAAGAAATCCTGACAGCTCCCTAAACCTCAACCGAGCCGAAGTCGGACCTCGAGCACCTGAAGCGCCCAGCGCCAAGCTCCGCGGCGCTCACAGGCGCTCAGAACGGCGTTGAAGGAGACCACGCTGGGGCGGCCCTCGGGCTCGGGTCTACCGCAGAATATGGTGAATCGAGTGAAGCCCTACGGTAGCTTGCGGGCACAGAGTTTTCTCAGCGGCCATGGAACGGGAAACAAGTCGTTCAACATGCTGGGTATGATGTCTTAGAATAGGGAGACCTCCCAGAAGAAGGGAAAATAGACCAAAACCACCCAAAACCTCTTCATTGGAGAGGTCTCCCAACCAGTTGAGGGCGAAACGAGCTGGCTGGGTGTGTCTTTTGAAACAACCGCAGGTCCAAAAATGTTTCATGATGGAACCCCCCCCGTCCCACCTTTTTAGAACCACCCAAAGAATCCGGGCCCTTCTCCAATGGGAAGGGTGTGGTATACCGTGTGGTTCGGGTCCGAATTCTGCCATGGAGGGAGCTGTTTGATTCTTTGGGCTGAGACTTGAAACCTTGAAAAAACTCCCAGTTCCCGGGAGGTCCTTCTGAAAAGCCACCAAGCCCAGCTTCATCTGTCCCCCGCTGCCGCCCTGGCCTCGTCCTTGAGCTCCTGCTTGGAACACGAACGAAGGCGGATCTTTGATCGGCGAATTCCCAAAGAAGGAGGCCATGCATCTGGATGCAAGGTCCGAATCCCACATCCAAAGCCCTTGACACTCCACATGCAGGCGTCCAACGGCGAACACTTCAGGCGTCAGTTGTTTGACCATATACTCTCGAGCCATATGCATCACATGGTTAGTGGGGAATGATCCCAAGGTTGCCAACTCTTTTTCTGCCACTGCTTTCGTCATCGCCCCTGCCTCCGCTGCCCACGACCCTCACGACCCTCACGACCACAGAGACCGCGCTCTCCTGCAGCATCTGCAGAGCCATCTGCCACTCCGAGGCCTCCGGCGCATCGTGACGCCGGACCGGCCGCATCCGGAGGGTTCAACCCCGTTGGAAGAGATGGAATGAGGCGCTGGACGCCTCCAGCCTACAGAAGCACAGGAATCGCGCCTCGTTTCCTGAGACATGCGCGCCTTCTCAGCAGCAGAGATGCAGGAATTCCAGGTCACAACACTGGGCACCAGAGCCGCCGACCTGTCAAAGAATGGGTCCCTGCGAGTGGGGCGGAACAGATATGATGATCCTCCAAGCAAGCTGGAGGGCTAGCCTAGGTTGCCGGGAGGTTTGCCATGTCAACGTTCCTTGGTCATACCGGGGGATGCAGTCATCTGTCCATAATAACTAATGTATATGGCCCCGGCATCGCTGCCAACGGCTTGTCTTGGCCAAACCACCCAAGGTCTGAAAAAATCCTTGGGCCCAGAGCTGAGCTCCACCGGACTCTCCGCCTGAGCTCCTTCATCAGCCGCAAGGCTTGTGGCCAGTGGCCACGCCATGCAGCGATGGCCGCGTTGAAACTGATGACCTACGTGGCCACTCAGGAGTGATGTTGGTGGCCACCAGTCCTTCTATGTCCTTCTTGGGGGTGATCACCAAAGGATCTCAGCTTAGATCACGAAGGATCTATCAGCTTGTTGAGCTCACTTGTTGAACTCACTATCTCCAACGAGATGTCCCAAGCTCCTTTCGCAGAATTTGGCACATGCGGTCTCACATGCGGGTCAGTGAACTCCTAGAAGAGTACTACATGATCTTCCATAAAGAACAGGAGTTGTCCAGCGACCGTTTTATGGCTTCGTACCGGTGGAGGAAGCGTCTTACCCTCGGATTTCAGCTGACCCCACCAAACCAACCACACACAAAGAGAAGGCCTTACTTCTTGACACCCCAAACAAAACAAAAGAAGAACTGCGGTGTGCGACGGGAAAACCTTGACTAAAGTTTGGAACCCCCCCCGGTCTAAAGCTCCTCCCATGGATCTCTTCCCATCCTCCTCTCCTCCCCTCCTCTCCCGTGCCCGGCTCGGCGCCTCCTTGGAGACCTGGAAGCTCTCCATGGCCTCAAAGAGCTCTACGGCCTCGACGAGCCGAGTGTCGGACGACGAGCCGAGTGTCGGACGACAAAACAAACGGCGGTCTCGCGCCGCGGTTCGACGCGGCGTCGCGGGTCATCGAAAAAAGGAGAACGGTGGAGCTACTGCAGTGGTGCATCTGCAGTAGCTACTGCAGTGCCAGGTCTTTCCCCCCTGAAAAATGCAGACTGTTGAGGAGTAAAGAAACACGATGAAAAACACCTCTCCTGATCCAGAATGGCTTTACGTCTCCATCTGGGGTGCTTTTGGAATCAACCGTCTACATGAGGAGATCCTACCCCCCGCCAGACCTTCTGCTCGCATATGTCTTGCAAAAGGGCCGTGATATGCCTTGATTCATGGCATTACCTGTTGACTCTTTGACACCACATCTGCGTTTTTCATCTGGTGGCTCTCCATGCTACCTGGTGTCAGGAGGTGAACCTCGTTTGGGTCAGCCTCCACACCGACCCGGCCTGTGCCCAGCCCTCGGCCCGCTCGCAGGCGGTCACGCAGGCATTGAGGGCCTGAGAGACGGCCCATGGCGGTGGGGGCGGGGGGCAAACCCCTTCCGCGTCAGAAGGATCACCAGAATTCGGGGTGAAGGGGAATCAGGGTGACTGAAAAAAAAACATATACATCTGTGAAGATGGGTTGAGACCAGCCACTGGAATGTGTGCATGTCTGGAAGTGCAATGTTGTTTGCTTCAGAGGTGTTTGCTGAGAAGCTGGGAGTGCAAAAATGCCTTGTAGTGCCTTGTACCAGTAGGGTTTGGAAGGTGATTAATCAAGTGGCACTCTGGTGCCCACGGGCCCACAGGTCACAGACGTGATTGTTCTTCCAACCCTCCAACCCTCCAACCAGCTGCCCAAAGGACGGTCGAATCCACCTGCACAGAGGACAGGCCTGCCACGGTGTCGATGAAAGAAGGAGGGCCCAGTCGAGAATGGACCCGATCATGGAGTCATAGGATCTCCTGGAAAAAACCACCGATGTGACCGGTCCCAAGCCCAGCGACCTGCGGAGCTCCAGGAGCTGTTCAAGCGCAGAGCCGCAAACCGTGCAAAAGCATGACAACAAGCATCCAACGAGGGGTCTGCAGGTGTGGTTTGCTTCTTCAGACTTCGGATGTTTGTTGCTCATCGAATTCCAGTCGTGACGAGTCTTCGCAACTGACACAACAACTCTCAAGTCGGGCAGTGCAACATAGCTCCCAACGGCCTAGTGAGTGATACAAGGTGCGGGAGCTGATGTTTGGGTTTTTCCATACCTACAGAGGTTCAAGGGTTCATCCCATCTATTTATTCTCCAGCCCACCTCCCTCCCCCTCTCTTCCGCCTCGCATGGCCTCCAGCACTCCCAAGGCGTGGCGCCAACTGCCCAGACCGCACGCCTTGCGTGGTCGACCGGGTGGTCGTCGACCGGTCGCGTGGAGACGGGCTTCTTCTGTGGTGCAGAAGGCCTCGGAAGACACTCCAAGGTCCAATCTAACAGACCTGACCAGTGATCCACCAAGGTTCAAGACATGATCACGGCCTATGCCCACTGTTTTCACGCGGATGGGCCTATCCTCATGAGTCTGTGACCTCAAAAAGAAATGCAGCAAGACAGGCTCTGGTCTCTTTGCCGCAACTCTTCTTCCCAAACTAGCCCAGCCGGAGAAGACTTTGCCAGTCAGAGTTCCGAATGTGCCTGGATGGCTGCGGTGAAGACAAAGGCATTTGCATGGCCACCTGCAGCAATCTCGGGTGACGAATCGTTCAAATAATCTTATTCATTCTAGAATCATATTGCATCTACAGCACTTGAGTTTACACGACCCTCCAAACAAAAATCCTAGACAGCTCCTACATCCCCCACTGGGCGCCGGGTGACAAACTGGGAGCATCCAGGGCGGATAGCAGCAAAGGGTCCGAGCAGAAGGAAAAGTCTTCGATCACGTCACCCAAAGACCATGGTTGTTTTATAGTCTTTGACTCCCAGGGAATAGACTTTACTGTTCCTACCTGGGTCATCCTGTCTCCAGTCGTTTGGATCGGCAAACACCCCGTCCCAACAATTTGGGTTCTTCAAGCATCTTTTATACCCGGCCTTGGAGAGAGAGCTGCAATAAATGCAAAGCTGCCTGCGGCACGCTCGCGGGCAGTACTCGTTTCCAACTGCAGAACCGATAGCGAATCAATAGCAAACCAAAAGGTGGTGTGGTGAACATATGGTGTTCCAGCATTGGATTTCATGGCACCTTCGTCAGCTTCTGACAGTCCTTGGACGGTCCTTGGGAATTTGTCGAATTTCGCCCCAAGCAGCGACAAATCGAATCCAACACACGAGCACGAGCTCGATTGAACGTTCCTCCAAGTGTTTGTAAATATTCCAATGTGAGAGCGAATCCCAACATGGCGCCGTAGTTCGACTCCCATGTTCGTGAACAGAATGGTCATGTGAGATGAAATCCATCTATATACTATATTTACTACCTACCTACCCAGGTTTGGGGGCAAGCTTCCAGAGCAGGTGCTGTCTTCTCTGGCCATCGTGCAGTGCCCGTGACAACATCCTCGTTGCATCACCGCCGTCGTCACCATCCCGATTCGCCGATCTTCCCGATTTAGGCCAAATGCTGAGGAGCAGGAATGTTAGATCGGCCAAATGGGATGGAGATGGAAGGGTTGTAGGCCTGCGGCCTGCGCATGGAAATGTGAAGCATGGAAATGTGAAGCAGGACTGAGCCCTGAGAAACTATCCTTGACGAAAGTTGAAGAGCACCAGCTTCGTAGCAGCATCTGGAACTGATCTGTTGACAAATAGCCAGGATTGCTGCAGGTGCCAGCCTTTCTAGCAGTGAAGTATGCCATGAAGCATTTTGTTGAATGCAAGAATCCAACTCAGACTTTGAGAGTATCACCCTCTAAACCCACGGAAATCAACGGGCTCTCTGTCCCTCAAACTCGTCCACCCAAGACACTCAGGGACCGGGGGCGAGCCGACGCGTTCGCCGGTAAGCCGACGCCGCCTGCCAGCCGTGGGACCCGGAGCGAGCGGCCATGACGGCCGTGCTGAAGCTCACCACCTCGGGAGCCGAAGCGGTCCGCAAGGGCGAACGGTGACCCGCCTCTTCGCGCGCGAAGAGTCAAACACCAAAGGCCAAAAAAGAAAAGGATGGGAAGCAGGTCCCCAAGGGTAGAGTTTTAAGATCTTTAGTGACTGAACCATGGAAACGTCCCCCACCCCCCAAGTTGATCCAATGAGAAAAAAACTGGTGCCAAGTCGTAGTGTCCTTCTCTACCGGAGCCTCGCGTCTGACTCTTTCGCCCTTGGAGGGCACCGGTCGGACTCGGAGCCGCCCGTCTCAGACCGAAGCGGACTGAAGCGTGGACCGGAGCCTCCTCGGACGTAACGGTCGACTGACCTTTTCACCCTGAAACACCCTTTCGGGCCACGCGCGCCACGCAGATCCTACGCACCCACGCAGCATGCCATTTCTCTTCCGCCCCGGACGGAGGGGGCCGCAAAATCTGGGATTGACGTGGTGGCAAAACAGTTCGGTGTTGAAAAGACCCACCTCGGCAGGGGAAAAACCGCAAAAAACACCTGCGCCGAACACGGCAAACCCATGGCTGGGGTGGGCCCAAATGGAGTTGAACAAAGTAGAAACATGTCTAGCAGCTATTCTGGGATTGGTCATTCAATTGATGTGTCTATATGGGCAATTGAGGTTCTGCAAAGGATCAAAAAGTTTGTCCAAGCTATACCAGTCTTAGCGGATGACCCTGCCGACATCCAAGTTCTTGCTTCCGACGTGGGTCATACAGGGCCAGATTCCCCGGCAATGGTCTGTGCCCGAAATCAAGTCGAAGATTACCTTCCAAACCAGCGTAGGAATCCACCAACAAACGACTCAAAACACATCCTCTACCATGGAAACCAGTGATCTCAGGTGCCTGCAGTGTTCTCAGGTGCCTCCAGGAAGGACCCAAACGATCTCCCACAGCTTCGTGGGTTCCTTCGCCATAGTATCCAAACGGGATCATCAAAAAGGACGTCCTGGAGTCCCCCATCCATGCACTTCTGTCGTCTTTGGAGCCGCCCTTCGTTGACCCTTCAACCACAGGAAGATCAGCATGTGATAGCATGTGCATATGTGAACATGTGGTCCCAGCACCACTGCATTGTGGGAAGCTACCTGACCCTGTAAATCGTGAAACGAAGAGAATGCCGAAGCACCCCCAGTGCATCCGCTGTGCTTTGCGGACCGAGGAAGGGTCTTTGCCCGGCTCGCAAGGGTCGCACGTCTAATTATCGCTTCGGTGTGGATGCCAACGCATCTGGGAACACGCCGCCACTCCAAATGCAAGGTGGTCTCCTCTCGGAAAATCGCCCTCAGAGGCACCCACACCCCAGTCACATGGTACAAAGCTTGGTTCATGGGCGGCCGGACGAACCCCTTTTAGAGGCCCGCTCAAACACCCTCATCGACACCTCAGCGACGAAGGAATCCCCTTACGCGCGCGTGTGCACGCTTGTTTCGTGTTCAACCTGGTCTTTGGCATTCTACAAAGGCACGTTTGATCAACCCTTAAAACCTGAGGATTCTCGGCCAAACCGATAGTCTTCTTCGAGAGGATTTCTAGGGCTTGATCGAAGAGCACCCAAAAGATGCTTTTGCAACTTACAAAGAAGTACAGTAAGAAGTAAAATTGGATGCCACCCTCGCGGGCTGTTGTTCAAACAAAGCACTCCGCCAGGAGTTCTAGATGGTGTAGTAAATTATTTGTCTCTCTTATTATCTGTTCGACATGCCGAAAAAATTATGCAACAGTCAGACCATGGCTTTCAGCTCGCCCGATCCAGTGCGCCTACTTCCCATTGCGCATTGTCCCGCCTCACCTCGCGCGAAACTCGCCAAGCGGCGGCACCTCTACATCTCCAATGTGAGGAACGCCTCGTGCATTTCAAGGGCCATTTATTCGAGCAAGAAGGGCTGTTCGCTCTTTCTTTACCCAAGAAATGGGGTCATTACAAGTCGCCTGTCATCCCAAGTTGCTTGGAGAAGCTTTAGATGATCTAAAAACAAACCGAGGGGGGGAGATTTTCCTCCACTCCGCTCGAGTCCAGTCCCAAGGACCCGCTCTCGAAAACTCTGTGTCAAAGGGGAATACGTTGGAAGCACAGTTACAGGCTTCATGCAGTGTCTGCATTGGTTGCCCTGGTGCTTTTCATCTGGCAGCCAAACAGTTTTTAAGAAGCTTCGATGAAAGGAAGCGGCCTGAGCCCTGAGCTTCACTGCGTTTTGCCGTGTTGTGCATCCATGGATGGTCTCGTGCAAAACCTTCAATACCGAAACCTATATGTAAGCGCGTCGCGCGACCATTAAGAAGAAGAAGGAAGAAGAAGAACGAAAGAACGAAGAACGAATTGAACGAAGAACGAGAAGAAACGCATCGCTTTCCGACCCGAATTCTCTCCCCTGTTCGGGACATCGGGTGCTCCAATCCGGACCCCTGGGAGGTCGTCCGCGTGTGGCCTTGAGAAGCTCTTCTCAAGGAGCCTAGTAGGCACCTCCAACACGGCATTGAGCCTGGCAACGTGAAACGCTTCTCTTTCACATACGATTGACTCAATGACCATCATGTCTCTTGACTGGAAAAAACAAACATCACCCACCCCAAAACAGCCTCCCCAAACCCGGGAGTCTGAGACGCTGCATGTATCAAAATCAAGGACCTCCCAGCTCGACCCGGAAGGAAAATCGACCAGTACACTCACTACCATCGCCTAGTACACCGGCGAAGGTGAGGGGGCGTGAGGCCCAATGAGTATGGGTTTCAACCATGATGTCATGCAACATAGACACAGTGGACCCATTCGTTCCACGTCTCCGAAGACATCGACACCCGACTCGGAGTCGACTCGCAGTCGACTCGGAGTCCGTCCGTCCCGCAGCTCGCAGGTGACATCATGAGAAACTGAAATTCTGAGAAAACTGCTCGAAAGTATCCCAACTCTGGCCTGCAAGGAGGGGTCAAAGTGTAATCAATCTAAATATGTCCAAAGCAATGAGTCAAACGCTTGCCCACATCCCGTACTCAAGAAAGATTCTGTTCCACACATTGTCAACGTTCTCTGTGCGTTGCCCAAACCATCTGTGCGGCTATCTCGATGCCAAGAAAAACGCGTCCTCATTGCACCACATAGTCACATAGCTGTGAATGATATATACATGTACTATATATAAATTGTGGCTGAATCAACTCATACCGTGTACATACTTAGCTGAACCCTTTTCTTACGTCTAAATCGATGATCCTTGGTCCAATCCTTGGTTGCAGTTTACATCAGTTTACAAATGACGTCAGACTCATGACACTCGGAAACGCCCAACGCCCACACACGTCTCACCCCCTCCACATGACGAAAAAAGAAAGCCTCACCTGGCAGTCGCTCGTGGGGAAGGGCCCCTGCGCGGCTGGGCGGCAGGCGCCACCCGACTTCAAATAGGCCAATCGGCTGGTCTGCCCAGACAGTTGGTGCAAGCCTCAGAGATCCACCGCAGGAACGTGGTCAGACCGCCGAGACGACACTGGTCGAAGTCTTTGTTGACGAAGGTCTTGAGACCAGGTGACCCGATTCGACTGAACCAACCGCGTGTTCCTTCTTTTTAAAGAGACCGCAGGTGCCGGGCTGTGGTTGGTGCCGGGCTTGTGGAGCACGGTTTTGCGAGAATCACACCGGCCTGTTCGGCGTGTTCTGCGGCACAAGAGGACTCGGAAAGGACTCGGAAGGTCAGTTGACCAGGTTTTCAGATCAAGAAGAAGCCACCCGCGTTTTTTTGAGTCTGAAGTCTGAAAGACCAGTTTCCAGATTGAAAAGTGCAACACACGTGAAACCCTCCATCATCTTCATCGTTTCATGCCGCCAAAGAGCAATGGTAGCCGCCTTCCGAGGTCTGCCAATCCGAGGGGCCTGGGCCAGCGGCTCCATCGGCTTCCATCAATCGTGCAACGATGCATGAATGCAAAAATATGTGTTTATAATGTATAGAATATTGATTAATAAACCACCCCTTTGAATTGGAAATCCTCTTCATACGGGGGGCTTGTGAATCAAGAGTCTACCTTAGGTGTTCGAACAGAAGATAAGAAAGGAACACGAATGTATTTCTTGTTTCTGGTTTTTCTGTATTTATTGTTCTTCTTCACACAAATTCGCAAGAGCAGAAGATAAGACAAGTCTTCGCAATCACACGGAACAAGATGGATCAGCAAATCTGTGCCCCTCCACCTGTGCTGCTGAATCGATTTGGCCACTCTGCAGACGCCCCCCTTGATCGCTTGCTCTCCAAAAACCAGAGAGACAATGATAATCCTGACCTAGTGTCCATACAGCGTCCATACAGCATAGGGCATAGAGCATCGATTCCAAATATATAATTTGTGCACTATGTGTAGGTAGCAGGCAGAGCCGTGATCATGGTAGGTAGACAGACTTGTTGGAAAACGTTCTTGAGAGATGTGATGTGCACGTACTCCCGCAAAGACATCGGATTTGACATTGAAAGTATTGATTTGGACTTGTTTTGAGACAATCAACAATTGGACAGCATGCTATATATTCATATTATATTTTATTATTATTATCATTATTATTATTACTATTGTTATTATATTCAAACTAGTTCAAATCACAGCACTCACACAACAACATAACAACAAGAATGACGAGCTGTGTATCTGTGTAAATTCCAAACACACACGCGCACACACGGAGAGCATTTCTGCACAAATGGCTTAGGTATGTCTTGAAATTGAGAGATGCCCCCAAACGTCCTGTCAAGGGGTTCTAGTTCTTACTGCATCATCATTGTACCCCAATCCTCTCTCCCCGCTGACCCGCATTGGGCGTCCAGGCATTGGTGTGAGACGCCCGCGTCACATTGAGGGATGCTCCCCTTGGCCAGGGAGCCCGATCGAAACATGTGGAGGGACCGCTTCAGTTGCTTCAGTAGTCCAAAAGCAAACGGGTTCTCTCTGTTTGGAGAGGCGATGCGGTAAGAAGCCAAAACCTGGATCA